TTTGTCCGTTTTCATGGTCAATCGTCTTTACCGCATAGTTCAACAACTACAGAAGGCATATATGCATATATTTTTTCTGACCTTAACATTTAAAATATAATAGAAGTTGTATGTGATTTCTTAAAGAATTTACTATAAATAACAAAACTCATATTGTGGAATAAAGCAAATTAATATTAATTATGGGTTAATTTGTACAAAATAAGACGACTTATTATAATAATGCTATTTTACGAGGTTGGATACATTTTGGATACATTTTTTTCTCGAAATTGGATACATTTTGTTTTTACCGAGTGGGAACACTGATTAGCATGTTCTCTCAAAGCAAAATTTTGCTTATAGAGAGAATTTTTCGCTTTACTCAATTTTTTTTTTTAACAATTGTACTAAATATTTTCTATTAAATCTAAGTATTTAATTATTATTTAATATTAATAGAAAATTTTGTTTATTTTTATTCTATTTTATTTTATAATTTTTTTTTAATTTTTCATATTATTAATTATTATTAAAGTAATTGTTAAGGATTACAAAAATATTAGGCATTTTTTAAAAATTAATAATATTTTTTTTTCTCATTTTCTTTTACGCTCCGCTTCATTCAAATCCAAATCAAACCCATTTTAGTACATTTACCCCATTTCCATTATCTTATAATATGAGTATATGAATATGAAATGAAAAATCCCTCTCTTTTTTATTCTCTCTCTCTCTCTCTATGTCTTTTTCAAATTTCCTAAATTTAAAACAAAAAAAAAATAATTATTTTGACGCTTGCGTTTTTAATGAGAAAATTTTTTGGGCGCGAAAAATAAATTTCTCTTTATTTTGTTGAAAATAATTTTTTGTTTTTCTTTTTTTAAGATTAATCTCATTATCATGTTACATGTATATTGTATGTAGCTATTCGTATTTAATTTCTATATGTGTATATACAATATTGTACAACAATACAAGATGCATTGTAATTTTCTCATTTTTAATAAAAAAAAAAAAAAACAAAATAATAACAATCAACAATTTCACATATCAAAAATACAATATTATTATATTTACATGTGTACATACATAGCTATGTATATATGTATGTTACAGCATGTTGTGTAAAATGATTTTTTCTTTTGAATTTTAACAAAAAATTTCTCTTTGATTTTTATTTTGTGTTTTTTTTTTTTTTAAATATTAAATTAATATTAATTTTTAGAGAGATGATAAATAGTGTACATATATATATGTGTATGTATATTTAATAAAATATGTAGAGAAAATATGCAAATATTTACGAAAAATAAAATAAAAAGAATTTTTGTATACAATACAAGGATAATATTTTCGTGTTAATAATATTTTTAATATTTAAGGATATACATCATATTATATGTATATATAGGGATGTGAAAAATATGGTATATGTAAAATATATTAAAATTTTTGTGTATAATACTTTCTTGTTAATATGTGTATATATATGTATCTTATATATAATATTTAATAATACTCAAATGTAGGTATATTTTAATCTTATATTATTCTAGTTAAAAATTGACACACATATAAAATTGACAAATATAAAATTGTGTATATTTACGTACAAATATTTTTAAGTATTTACGATATTTATGTTTGTTTACTCGTAAAAATTTACATACATCATATATTATAAATAACTACGCAACATGATAAATATATTTTTCTTATTTTTTTTTTTTTTGAAGAAGAAAAGGACCTCTTTAAATTTTCTTATTAAAATTTAATAGTATATATAGTATATATATATATATATATATATATATATATATATATATATATATATTAGTATATATATATATATACCTTGATGTTCTTGATTATCTCCAATTTTTATATATGTACACATAATATTTACTTACTGCATATATAATCATTCATAATATATAATTTATATTTATGTTTGTGTTTATAATATTGTAATTGAATTAGTAACTATTGGTAATTAATAAAATAAGTAAAAATAAATTTTAATATGTTCCGAAATCTTTAATTTTTAAAACCCCATTAAACTGTAAAATGTAAAGTGTTGAAATGGTTTAGGCTTAGGGTTTGGTCTTGAAAAATTGCTTAATGTAAAAAGTCTGAGAACAAAAATAAATATGTTACAAAAATTATACTCTTACTGACTTTACAACAATTCTTGTATTATAAGAGACTTCATCTTATTGTCTAAATTATTTTTAATATTTAACTACTTGCATATGCTACTTGTGAAGATTTTTTCCTATAAAATACTTATTCCATAAAACATTAAATACTTGAATGTAAGAATAATGTCTTTATTTTTTTAAAAATATTTTAAATTAATTTCGAAATTTTTAAATTAAATAAAAGAAATTCCAAACTTAAAAAAAAAAATGGGAGAACAGAAATTTTTTTTTATAAAAAATTTGTAATTACTTTCGTTCCAATTTGCCACAATATGAGCACCTGCACTTTAAAAAATTAAAAAACAAAAAACAAAAATATTCATTCATTCATACACATTCGTACATTACAAATATACCAAAGTTAAAAATTCAAAATTCTCCATATTTTTTTTTTCTTTTTTCAATTTTCTTTCATTTTATTTACGAAAAATTTATTATTTTTGAAAATATTTTATTTGTATAAGACAAAAGTAACTTAAAAAGTCAGCAATAATTTATTTTTTTAAGGGCATATGTACTTTGTACTGTTATAGTATACAGTAGAGTACATAAAATATTATTTACATTTTTATACACATTTATGTATATATATTTCAAATACAATATATTTTATTTAAGTTTTATATTATTTGTCAACAAAAATCTTATAAAAATATTTATTTATTTTCTTAAATTGCACAGAAAAGCTTTGCATTTGAGATTCTCTCATAACCAAAATGGATTGATGCAAAAAATTGCAGTATTACAATATCGTAGTAAAATTTTGAAAGCGACTGCAATATACAATATAGTCTCGATTGCTTTTCTTCTCCGTTCTCTATCTTACTGCTTAAGTTAGTTAAAATTAATATTTTAGAAATTTGAATTTTCCTACATTATGCAATGCAATGCAGTATACTGCATTAATACTGCATTTTGAATGTCAGGGAATATTATTGTACAAGTACCTTTAATTTATTTGAAAATAAAAATCCATATTAGAATTTTTTATATAAAAAGGTACACGGTACAGTAATATCAGAGAATAGACACGAATTATTTGAAAAACTCAAACACAATGTATTGGAATCTTCAATAACGAAAAATATTTCATTAAAGAAAATAAATTTCGAAAACTAGCTGGTACTTATAAAATTAATAAAACTTTTTCGAAATTTTCTGATTTTCATAAAAGCCATTAGATTTCTAGTTTTAAATAATAGCCATTAAATGAAAACTATTAAAATATCTAAGATCAAATCAAATGTTAATTGGATGTGCAAAAGAAATATTGTGGATATGATTTTGTAAAATTATGAGTTTATTATTTTAGAATTTAATAGTCAAGAACTTACAAAATTAAACTTGATTATATTGCTGTAAAAGTATTCTCCCTCAAAAATATGTAAACAAATTGAATTAAAGTAGAAGTTTCTCCTATTTGTATGTTCATAAAATAACTATTTTAGTATTTTTTTTAAATCTTAAAATTCTCATAAAATGTTACAAATTTTAATACAATACTCCTTTATTACTTTATAAAAATTTACAACAATATATGAGGTTTAATACCCTCAAAATTTTTAAATTAAAGTTCAACTTGAACTTATAAATTTCTTTTACATTGAACATATAATACAAAATTAAATACTACTATCATTATTATTGATATAGTTTTATTGGATGGTTCTATGGAAAAGTATATAATGTACAAATAAAAGAAAAATCAGTTCATTGTCCCATTTATTATCCTTTTGCTTGGATGTGTGCGTGTACCATATACCCAAAAATTTTTACACTATACAAAAATATATTTTTTATGTTCCTCTTCTTATTGTTCTCTTCTTTAAACAAAAAATAAATGAACATCTTCTTAATTTTAAATTCGAAATGAATTTGTAAAATGAAAAATATAAAATGGACAGAGATTTTTATGATACATTGATAAAAATTTTCGCTTTATCACAAATTATTGTTCAAAAACTTCTTAAGATAAACACGGTCAACATTATAACAACTAAATAATAAAAAGAGAAATGATAAAGAGGCTGAAAAAAGAAGAAGAAAAAATAAAGAAAACGGAAATGGAGAAAAAAAAAATCCAACTTTTGATATTTTCTTTTATTTATTTTTGTTTGAAAGGATATATGGTATATCAGTCCACAATAATAAAATAAGGACCGGAAATAAAGAATATCAAAATAATAAAAATAAAAGCAAAAAGAAAAACAAAAAACTTTTGAAGAGCTTTCTTTTTCTTTTCTAAATTTTTTGTAACACTTTAGAGCTACTAAAATCAAATATAAGTACAGTGATCCCTAAAAAAGAAAGGAATATATATTTTAAAATTGAGATTAGAATTGAATAAAAAATAGGTATTACTAATAATGTAAGAATTAAGTGTTTAATAATTATAAACCTTATAAAATATTAAAAATTTAATATTTGAAATAAAATTATTTAAAAAATTCTAGCATTTTCACAATAATTTTGGTGTCTATTTTGTACCAGTAAAATAACCAACATCGAATTGGTTATATTAATTTACCAGTCCAAACGAGATCCACACCTAAAACATTGGATTTGATGTTTAAACAAATTCACCTTCACATACTGTGTATTCTAAAATATCAATCTAAATTTAATCTTGTTGTACACAATAAATAAAAAAGCTTAATATTTAATAAAAAATAATTAAATTTTTTTAATAAATTGATAAATTCTTTGTATATTTTGTTTTAGTTTTCTCGAATTTCTGATTCAATAATTTGAATAAAGTGAAAATTGTGTTTAAAAGCAATGAATAAAATTTTAATGGTCCTAATAAAAATATTTTATTAAAAACCTATTTTGTATAATAAGAAGCATCTTCACAAAATTAAAAGAATGTTTTTTTTTTTCTAAAATCAAATAATAATTATTAATAATTGTTACATGTACATTTATTTTTTTGATTTTTTCAAAGAATTCTTCTTCTTTGCCATGATATCTTTTTTAACATTTTTCTTTAATTCTCCTATTGTTTTATTCTTTTGTTTTTTATCAATTTTCTTTTTCTTATCCGCTAATTTTTTTATTAATGGTGTTGATAAAGTAACATTATTTGTTTTTGATTTTAGGGCTGTTTTATCCTCACTTTGCTTTTCTAATTTTAACGAAATCTTTTTCGAATTCGATTCATCATTACCTTTTGATTTCTTAGGTGATGCTTTTGTTTCCATATTAGATTTTGCTTTAGATTTTTCTTTTAATTCATTTTTTTCCATATTATGCTGGTTTTCGTTACTTTTTCGTGAAACATCATTAGATTTTATTTTATTAGTTTGATTTTTTTTATTTTCACTATTTTCTATTGTAGCACCAATGCTGTTGGATTTTTTTGTAAATGTTCCAATTTTTTTATTTTCATCATTTTTTGTTGTATCAGTTGTTTCCGATTTCTTCTTAGGTTTTTTCACTTTGATCGGATTTTCAAACACTTTTGCAACGTATTTTTTACCTTCCTCTTCTTTCTTTTTCTTTTTCAGTTCAGTTTCTATTTCGCTCAAAATAGGTTTTCCAGCTCTTTTTTCAGCTTTTTTACTGTTACCCACATTATTTTCTATTTCATTACCATTTAAATTTCCATTTAATTCATTACCATTCTGAGAAGTACTTTCTTCTTCAATATTATCTTCAACTTCATCTTTACTGATTGGAATGCTATTTGAAAATTTTTTAAGTTTAGCAACGAAAAATCCATCCATATTATGGGTATGTGGATAATAGCGCCTAGTTAAATTCAAACTAGGATGATAACGATGCTGTCTATATTTAGTGAAACCTTCTGTTCCGAAATCAATTCCAGTTGGAACAACTTTTACATTTCTTTTTTTTAATGCATAATCTATAACCCATTCATTTTCTTCTGGTAAAACTGAGCAGGTTGAATAGACTAAATAACCACCCGTAGCAGATTTCGCATCTAAACAATCTATCGCGTTTAATAATAGTCTTCTTTGTAAATTATAACATTTTTGTACATCTACTTCGGACTTCGATGATTTAACACTTGGATCTTTAGAAACAACCCCGGTTCCGGTACAAGGTGCATCAACCAAAACCCTGTCAAAACCTGTCATAATTTGTTTAAAATTGCAACCATCTACAGTGCTTACTACAGAATTAACAACACCTAAACGATGAAAATTTGCTACAACTGCTTTTACTCGATCTGGATTTGCATCATTTGCGAAAAGAACTCCGGTATTCTTCATTATTGCGGCAATATGTGAGCTTTTACCTCCTGGAGCTGCGCACAAATCTAAAATTCTCTCATTTTCTTGTGGTGCTAATGCCATAACTGGTATCATACTTGAAGCACCTTGAATCATGTAATGACCCGCTAAATATTCCGGTGTAGCACCTATTGGTACAGAAGAGTTATAAACAACCAAACCAACATTAGTCCATTTCCCAAGGGGATCCAAATTAACACCCCTATTAATTAGAGCTCCAGCTAAATCACGTCTTCTTGTTTTTAAACTATTTGTCCGAATAGTTAACGGTCTCGGAACCTGTTCGAATATAAAAAACCAATTGCGCAATTAGATAAATTATCATATTCAATAATAAAAAACAAACCTCGGATGCTTCCAGATACTCCATTAATTCATTTAAGGAAAATGTTTCCATTAATTTACTCATAAGAAATTCATTATAACTGTAATATGTACATAAATCTTGTTTAAGCAAGTCCAAGTATTCTTGTCGAGATCTATTTTCTTGTCGGTACTTTTTAAAATCAGATAAAACTAAACAAACATCTTTTATCCTTTGTTGAACTTCCTGTATTGTCAGTTGTTGATCATCCTCGTCTTCTTCATCAGGAAAATTAAATACTTCTTGTCTGTCAATGGACATTTGCATTTCGGCATCTGCTAGTTTAGATTGTTTTTCTATGTGTTTCTTGAGTTTTTGATTAGCCTTTTCTATTGGCAATTTTTCATCATTGTCATAATCATCATCGCTGTCATTTTTATCACTGCCATCCTCTTCTTCAAAATCGTCATCATTGCTATCTTCTTTATCTCCTTTTAAATCATTTTCATATAATTCATCCGACTCTTCTCCAGAAAAATCTTCTAATTTTCCGACTTTAAAATTATCATCATCTGATTCTGCATCATCTTCGTCAAATAATTTAGTTGTGTTTTTATCTCCTGATCCGTCGTTTTGATTATCGTCCGAATCAAAGCTTGCCACATCTTTGTCACTTGAAATAAGATCTTCTTCGGATTCACCGTCACTTGTATATGATTTCGCTTTTGTTTTGATTTTTGGTTTCAGCCAACTTTTATTTTCGTCAGAGAAACCTTTTATTTCCCTTTGGGCCGAATTTTCATTTTGATCCTCCTTTTTCTGTGCAATTTGATTTGCTTTTTCTTTCGATTTTTCCGCTTGTTTTGCTAAACGTTTTGCCAATCTTTGTTTTTGATGTCGGGACAATTTTTTTTCGGCTCCATCTGGTGCTGCAGCTTAATTAGGAATGCATATGAAAAAATGTATTTAGCTTAACTTTTATTACACTTACCTTTAAAAGCTTTAATTAACTTAGGAGGTCCTTGTTTTTTCGCCTTTCTTCCTGGCCCTCTTTTAGGTTTTTCAGAAAAATTTGCCTTACGCCCCATTAAGTATTATTTCAATCTGTTTATTCAAATTAATAATATCCACCAAAAACGAAGTGGGTTTTAATTGCGAATGAATTGTGTACTTTCTCGCACGTGGTAAAACAAAAAGGTGCAAAAAAAAAATTAAAGCATCAAAATTATCGTTATTTTTGTGTGATTTTATTAGTGACAATTAAAATACTGCTAAATAAACTTATCGACATTATTTTCTGCCAAATTATTGAAAATGTCGGCGAAAATGCTAATATTGATAGACTGAATCATAATACCAAATTAATTAATTACTAGTAGACTCGCAAAATATGTTAAAAACCATAACAATATTGAAATTCTACAAAAAGCACCTAGAATTTCAAACAAATATAGAATAAAAACTGAGAATTCCCAATTTTAGTCAACATTTTTTAATTATAATTAAATCAAGAGACAAATTATCTTAATATAGCTGACACATGACATTTTACAAAACTGAACTAATGACACATGACATTTTACAAAATGAACTGTGGTAATACTGTCTTTGACACGTTAAATTTGGTGACGTTCCAAAAAATAAGTCGGCTCTGTATATTAAGTAAAGTGTTGTTTTTTATATTAATGATTAAATATTACTAAAAAGTAGCTGGTTTATAACAAAGTAAATTCAGAAAAAAATATCTTTGTTAATAATTGAATAAATCGTAATCAAAATGTTAACAAATTTCGAGTCGAAATCTGCGCGTGTTAAAGGTCTATCATTTCATCCCAAACGCCCTTGGATTCTAGCAACATTACACAGTGGAATAATTCAACTATGGGATTACCGAATGCATACATTGCTTGAAAAGTTTGATGAACACGAAGGTCCTGTAAGAGGAATAAATTTTCATTGTCAGCAACCATTATTCGTTTCTGGAGGAGATGATTTCAAAATTAAAGTGTGGAATTATAAGCAACGCAAATGTATTTTTACATTATTAGCTCATTTAGACTACGTACGTACTGTGGTATTCCATCGCGAATACCCTTGGATCTTAAGTGCATCTGACGACCAAACTATACGAATTTGGAACTGGCAATCAAGGAATTGTATATGTACCTTAACTGGACATAATCATTATGTTATGTGTGCTCAGTTCCATCCAACAGAGGATCAAATTGTTTCTGCTTCCCTTGATCAGACTGTAAGAGTATGGGATATTTCTGGTGAAACTTTCAAAAATTTATTTTAGTTCGCTTTAAAATAGAATTTTACTTATAGGAATTGCAAGTAGAGATGGAATGAAAGGATTAAAAAAAAAAGTTTTCTCGTCAGGAAATAATGCTTTGGAGGATCACATTAAATCTCCAAGTGGTGGAACAGATTTATTTGGGCAAGCTGATGCAGTTGTTAAACATGTACTAGAAGGTCATGATCGTGGTGTTAATTGGGCAAGTTTTCATCCTAGTTTACCATTAATTGCTTCGGGAGCTGATGATAGACAAGTAAAACTTTGGAGAATGAATGAATATAAAGCTTGGGAAGTTGATACATGTCGCGGACATTATCATAATGTTTCTTGTGTAATATTTCATCCACGTCAGGATTTAATAATTTCAAATAGTGAAGATAAAAGTATCAGGGTATGGGATATGACAAAAAGGCAATGCCTATTTACATTCCGTAGGGATCTAGAGCGATTTTGGATATTAGCTGCACATCCAACTTTGAATTTGTTTGCTGCTGGTCATGATGGTGGTATGATAGTGTTTAAATTAGAAAGAGAAAGGCCAGCTTACACTGTACATGGAAATATTTTATATTATGTGAAGGATCGTTTCCTTCGCAAACTAGATTTGACCACTACAAAGGATACAGTAGTAATGCAACTGAGAGGAAGTGGAAGCGGAAAGAACCCACCCGTTCATAGCATTTCATATAATCCAGCATTGAATGCAGCGTTAGTTTGCACACGTACAAGTAATTTAGAAAACTGTACTTATGATTTGTATAGCTTGCCATCAAAAGATTCAGAAAATCAGAGCTCCGAATCAGATAGCAAAAGGTCCTCAGGTAATAAATTCAAATAGATATATTGCACTTTGTTCCTAGTAACTCATTTTTCTTTCTTTCTATTTAAGGTATTACGGCAATTTGGGTGGCAAGAAATCGTTTTGCAGTGTTAGATCGTCACAATCAATTGGCTATCAAGAACTTTAAAAATGAAGTTACAAAAAAAATTCCAATGTTTTGTGAAGAAATTTTTTATGCTGGTACAGGCATGCTTTTAATCCGCGACCCTGATTATGTTACGTTATATGAAGTTCAAAGATTAATTGCAGTGGGAACAATAAAATTAGCTAAGTGTAGATATGTTGTGTGGTCCAGCGATATGGTACTTCTCGCACTTTTATGCAAACATTCAGTCACTATTTGTGATCGTCGCCTTCAACCATTGTGTACCATACAAGAAAATACCAGAGTTAAATCAGGTGCATGGGATGAGTCTGGAGTTTTCATTTACACAACTAGCAATCACATAAAATATGCTATACCAAATGGTGATCATGGAATAATTCGCACACTTGATTTGCCTATTTATTTAACCAAAATAAAGGGTAATCAAGTTTTTTGTTTGGATCGTGAATGTAGATCACGTGTTTTAAATATTGATCCCACTGAATTTAAATTTAAATTGGCTCTTATTAATCGTAAATATGATCAAGTACTCCATATGGTACGAAACGCACGTTTAGTTGGTCAGAGTATTATAGCGTATCTTCAACAAAAGGGATATCCGGAGGTAGCATTACATTTTGTTAAAGATGAAAAAACTAGATTTACTTTGGCTTTGGAGTGTGGTAATATTGAGATAGCTTTGGAGGCTGCCAAGGCTCTCGATGAAAAAACTTGTTGGGATAGATTAGGACAAGCTGCTTTAATGCAAGGGAATCATCAAGTTGTCGAAATGTGCTATCAAAGAACTAAAAATTTCGATAAATTATCATTTTTATATTTAATAACTGGAAATCTTGAGAAACTAAAAAAAATGAATAAAATCGCTGAAATTCGAAAAGATGTATCAGCTCAGTATCAAGGTGCACTCTTGTTAGGAGATATTAGGGAAAGAGTGAATATTTTAAAAAATTGTGGGCAGACATCATTGGCTTATCTGACTGCAGCAACACATCATGTGAAAGATGAAGCGGACACTCTAAGAGAGGAACTGAAAGCATCTGGAAATCCATTACCTGCCATAAAACCAGGTGCCCAATTTTTTGTTCCTCCTGTTCCGGTCCAGCAAACGGAAACTAATTGGCCTCTTCTAACAGTATCAAAAGGATTTTTCGAAGGTGTTGTTCTTCCTAAAGGTAAAAAAACTCCCTTTTTTTTTAAAGAATAAACATGACAATTGAATTTTGTAGATAAAAGAATATTGGAAGCAGCCAATATTAGTATTGCGACGATTGATGAAGGTCCTACCGATGGTTGGGGCGCTGATGCCGATTTAGATTTGGATGAAGAAAATGGCGATGATGATATTATTGTCAAAGACAATCCTGAAGATGCTGAAGGTGCTGGCTGGGATGTCGGTGATGAGGATTTAGTTGTACCAGACGAAATTGCCCAAAAAATAAAATCGGTAGCTAAATCTGGTGATTACTATGCTGTTCCAACTAGAAATAAGTCTCCAGCACAACACTGGTCCAATAGTTCGCAATTAGTGATTGATCATATTAAAGGCGGTTCTTTTGAAAGTGCTTTTAGATTGTTAAATGAGCAAATTGGGGCTGTTAATTTCCAGCCGTTCAAATCAATTTTTTTGCAAATATTCGCAGCATCAAAAACCAAGTTTCCAGGATTGCCCAATATGACTTCTTTAAATGCATATCCTTTACGTAACTGCAAAGAAACAAATATGAGCAATAGTAGGCCAGCTTTAAGCGTTAAACTGAATGATTTGGTTCAAAGATTGCAAGTGTGTTATCAATTAACAACGGGTGGTAAATTTGTGGATGCAATACAAAAATTCCAATCAATTTTACATAATGTTCCATTAATTGTCGTTGATACAAAACAGGAAGTGGCTGAAGCACAACAGTTACTTAAAATATGTAGCGATTATATAATTGGATTAAAAATGGAAACTGCTAGAAAAGCTCTACCAAAAGCAACATTAGATGAACAAAAAAGATTATGTGAAATGGCTGCATATTTTACCCATTGTAAATTACAACCAGTACATCAAATTCTAACTCTAAGAACCGCATTAAATATGTTCTTTAAATTGAAAAATTATAAAACAGCCGCATCTTTTGCCAGACGATTATTAGAGATGGGACCCCGACCAGAAGTAGCACAACAAGCTAGAAAAATTCTTCAAGCTTGTGAAGTAAATCCAACTGATGAACATGAACTATTATATGATGAATTTAATCCTTTCGATATTTGTGCTATAAGTTTCAAACCGTTATATCGAGGAAAAGCACAAGAAAAATGTCCATTCTGTTCTGCGTCATTTGATCCTAAATATAAGGGAGCTTTATGTACTGTATGTGAAATCAGTGAAGTTGGAAAATCAGTATCTGGGTTGAAAATTTCAAATATTCATGTTAGATAAATATTATTGTACGATTTCAATTAAAAATTATTTTATGTTTAGTTTTACAATACGTTTAAATAAAAAAAAAATTGTTAAATTTATAAAAATTTAATAATAATGGAAAGCGAAATATTTTAAACAACCCATAGTAAACAACTTTTTTTTAAATAAATTTTTTTTTTCATAAATACGATAAAAATAATCTATTATGTTAATCTATATTATTCTATAAAAATAAAGGAACTTAGACTGTTAAGAAAAAATATTGGCTTTAATCTATTGATTTCAACCACTGGTGCCTTAATACTTAGATTAAAACCACGTCATTGTTTACTTTATTTTCCACACCCAATGAATTGCAACACATTTCCAAATAGCAAAAAATATTTTATATAATGAAACAATCAGGGTTCACTTATATTAATTATACTTTATTTTCATTTTGAAAAGATAACATATCTAATTATATTAAAGGAACCTGAATTAAACTTATTTAGAAGTGGTTGTCAAGCATTCATGAGCTCTTCTTGTAATTGGAATAACAATTTACTGCATCAGTGGCTGTAAATTCTGTATAAGCCCTTTTACTTCCTTTGAAATTCTAAAATAATAAGACAAGTATGTACTTTGATTTAGATCTAGGATTATAAAAATTTCAAGAACGTATTTATAATAAAAATGTATTTTCTTGCTTTTATTTCCTTTTACATTTTCGCATCTACTTACTTTAAAATCACCACTTATTAGGCCCCATAAAAAAACGAATACTGATGGAATTACAACAGCTATAACAGGAGCTAAGAATACTGGAACATCAATAAGCGTTAAGGATATCATTTTCAATTATGAAAAAAAAAAAAAACTAAATATTTACTCTACAAAAAATTGTCTTATTCCTTTTTGTTATTTGCATTTGCATTATCTATGTATAACGTCATTTTTAGTTTGTCAACTTATCGTCATCCAGATTTAGTATTACCAAATTGCAAAATTTTTTACATCACATGTAGATTTAAACTTTAAAAACATTTTATGTTTTGTAAAGAAATTTTGGTTCATATTAAATAGCTGAGTAGAAATGAAAAAAAAAATTACGGTTAAAGGAAGAATATAATATTCACAATCATACAGAAAAGATAACAAAAGCAAGGATCAATATGGATTTAACAGCGTAACAATTGAAAAATTACTATTAGAGGACGAAAATTGAAGTTGATTCTTATAAGAAACTCAGCAAAATCCCAATTCAAATAAACCAATAAAGTTTTTGTAGGAGTTTTAAAAGATTTTCAACACTGTTTTCATAGAAAATGTAAAACAGAAAATAAATTATTTCGTCTTAATTCAATTGGCTTGGCAATACTAATCATGTATTATAAACTACCCGCATAGAGTTCTTACTTTATTCTTTTGGATGTATCCATCATACCGTTATTACATAATTTCTTAATCCAAAAACTAAACCCTATAGAAATGATTCATCCGATTTATGAAATTTAAAATTAAAAGCATATAACAGATATAATTCACATGTTAATACTATTATCCTTTAATAGATAAAAATTTGTACATACAAACTGCTTATAGCGCAAAACTAAATTAAATGGCAATCAGTTTTTTACTTGTATTATCCACCTTTAAAGCCTACAATTTTCTCAAGAAATTATTTTATTTGCTAAAAATTACAAAAAAAAAAAACAAGAAACTAATTTTTTAATAAAGTATTGTGAAATATTGTTTTTAACATTTTTATTTACATATTCTTAATTTAATAATATTTCGTTTAAGATTAGATATTAGGATTTAAACTGAAAAAAAAAAAAAAAAACAGTTCTAAATTTAAAATAATTATTCTGAATAAATACCACAAATGCTATCAGTTACGGTATTAAAAAAAAAATTAGTGATTTTTTTCAGTTCTCTTTTTTTTTGTTTTAATTATTTTTTATGGTACCTTCACTTTTAAGAAAAAAGTTATTATCCTTTTTTTTTTATTATTGTTGTAATGCAAAACATATAAAAAGTCGAGTTTGCACATAAACTGCATAAAAATATTTCCTTTTTTTTTTGTTTTTGTTTGTTTTATGGTTTTTTTTTTTAGCGAATCGCCAATTTAAGTCAACGTCAAACATTTAGACGAATATCTTGTAAACCTTTATTTTGCCATAAATTTGGAGTCTTCTTACAATATGATGCAGTATTATACAATGTAACTGATGCAATATAATTATTTGGCATTACTTCAAAAATAATATCCTGATATCCATAACAAAATGTTGAACCAAATGGATTTGCTGTATTTGTTGAACTAGCTCTATGAAGCACAACTGGCCTTTCTGATGGTGTTAAACGAGTACTAATTGTATCCCATTTTGAATATGCTGATATAATTACTGGCGAGTTAAGAGGTTCCTGGTTTGTTTTATCACTTGCTGTACAATTCAATTGAAATTCACATCGATGGTACATATTAAAATTATAATGTCCCGGATAATTAGTATGAAGAATAATTTTTTTGCAACGTTGTGTTATTGCATCGAAAAGAACATCAATTCCAAGTGTAAAATAATTGAAAAATATATCACTGCGTTTTGTTTGAGCACGTCTGTGAGCGCTTGGAGAATGAATTTTCATTTTATCTTCACTCTTAAAAAATATTTTATTTGGTGATCCTAAATTTGTTGATACATCTTGGCATGTATCACCAAATAAAATTTCTCTTGTAAAAGTTTGGCGACGAGGTTCTAATGCTCTTAATGATCCATCAGTAAATAATTGTAATTTTAAACCCCTTGTACCATTTGAATTTCTTAATACGCTCGCAGATTCCAAATATATTTGCCGATTATAGCAAGAAAATGGTAAGGGAGGAGCTCGAATTTCTTGCATATTGTTGCCACCTGAATAAATAGACATTTTTGAAACAACTGGTGAAGCACCACTTGGAAATATAAGAGATCCCAAGCCGTGAGCATAACCAGGATGAAGTTTGCTATCTACTGGGAAAAAAAAGCTTAAGCCTCGAAAATGAAGAGCAAATAATTGCTTGGCAGCATCATAAACTCCTGGATGAGTTGCCCCAAAAGAATGTTCAATTTGTTCGATTGATGGCACAACTTCAGGAGAATTGAAGGTTACATCACTGTACCGTAATTTAACTAATTTCATATTGAACACTTCAATAATTTTCAAACGTTGAACTACAGGATCAAAAATTAATCGAATACCATCTTGGGGTAAATTAATAACGATATCAACACCGAGAGGATTCTACGATTTCAAAAAAAAAATAATAATAATTAAATATCAAAATACATGAATAAGTAAAAAAATATAATTACTTACAGTATCTGAATACAAAACTTGCACTCCCTTAATAATACCAACTTGAGATTGAATTATAGCCACCGCTTGAGAAAAGTGCATTCCAAGAATAAATTCCCAGCTTTCACAGCCCAAAGAAATCTCTGGTACTATTTCTAAATCTAACATTTTTGCTTTTAAATTAATCACTTATTACTCAGATGTCAAGTCAAATATTCTAATTATCAATTTGTGTGACTTTCAATGAAAATTTTTATTTTCACAAAGAAACTTTTTTTTTTTCTTTTTGACTTGCCGTTTATCTCTTTGTTTTTGTTTTTCTAGACTAAAATTATTTTTCTTTTTTATCCCTAGATATATTCCTAATCTAAATTAATTTATTTATATAATTCTATTAAATTTGAAATGTTTTTTTTTCACTAAAGTACTATAATGAAATAAAAAAAAAATTCCTAAATTATAATTACGTTAATTTTTTATTTTAATGGAAAATATTACAAAATATTTACCTTTTTTGTTTCTACGTCGTAGTCCTATAAACGAGATGTCACAAACGCTTACTATGAAAGTAATCAAATGCACTCGTAATTACATACGTAATTATTTGAGTGATTTGAGTGAAATTCTGAAACAATTAAATTTTTTTCAAATTTCATATAAAAAAAAAGTTATTTTTATATTTGGATACAAAAAAAAAATTCAATTAATTGTAATGTAGTAATTATATGTAACTTTTATTGTTTATTTATTGTACTTGTTAAATGAATTAATTTTAGTTTTTTTCAACTTTAGATTGATTTGTGATTAATTATGTCCCAATTTTTTCAAATTTTATATTTGAATTAAATGAATGTACGCTTAAATAATGTAAAACTTCATTATTCTAATGTGCTGTCATATATGAAAATATGTGTCATTTTAAAAATGTGTCAAGTACAAAAAGTAAATACAAACATGTAAAATCAATTATTTTAAAATGTTTAAAGGGTAATAGTACTTGACACTAGAATAATTGTCAAAAAATTCTCTATAAGATTTTTTTATGTTTTGATGTTTTTATTTGAATAGGCACTTTACGGTCTTTCGGAATACGAGGTAATAAAAAACAACGCAAGTTAAAAATTTTGTTCCTAGCTATAAAAATATTTTGTAATGTAGACTTTGCACCTCATTCAAGAATTTATTGATGCCAATTTAATTATAAAAATGGAAGCTTGGATTAAATTAAATAGTGAAAGTATTGGTCGTGATAAAATTGCAAGGTAAAAAATATTTTTAGAGTTCAGTACCCACTAAAATTGAATAATATTCTATTTACAATTACAAAAATAGGTTAATACAATATTTCTCAAGAGCTGTTTGGGATTCTTTGGAACAAAATCATGCCAGCCCAATAACAGTCGATCAGTTTAAAACTTTGGAATATATACTGAGTTCCTTTAGAAAACGTATTATAATTTATAAATTTTTATATAACTAAAGTTTTAATATAATTTATTCATATTTCCAGTTTTACGTTTTGGGAAATGTCTTGATGTTTTTTATTCAAGTTTAAAATCATCTCATTATCCAGATATTGCACTTCGTATAACACTGACGATAGGCAAATTATCACAATCATTATTTCTTTTAGCTGATCATATAATATGGTTATCTAGAACTGGATTATTTAAAAACATAAATCCTAAAAAATGGGGAAAAATCGCAAATAAATATTGGTTGTTATCGATAATTATGAATTTAGCACGAGATGTATATGAAATTCACAGACTTATTGATTTGCACAATTCATGTGGTAAAGTTGGAATAACAAGAAGTAGGGTTCCTTTATCTATTACGTCGTCCAGAGATTTATCTCGTTTAGCTTTATATTCATATGGTATTATGCTAGGTCATCAAGATGTTGCGGTAGACACAATAAAAAATGTATGCGATTTATTCATTCCATTAACAGCTTTAGGATATACAAATTTAAGCGCAAGAACAATTGGAATATTAGGTATTCTGTCAAGTGCAGCAGGATTAGTTGCACTTATTCAGCCAAAAGCTAAGTTATTACCAGCTTAAAAGTTATACTAAATATATATATATATAGTTCAAAAATATTGTTAAGTTCTGTAGTTTTATGTATTGTTCCAATTTTTTTACTGTTAAATTATGAAAAGGGATATATGTATGTGGTAGGTGCCTACCTACCTACTCACAAATAAATCTAAAAATTTATTATGCTTCTAAGAAACATTTTAAAATATGTATTTGAAAAAAGCAGTTAAAATCTGCTGACGGGTTATTTTTAAAATAATAAATTATTTTTTATAACTATGAGAGAAATAAAAAATTTGTTTTTGTTTTGACTATGCCAAAATAAATTTATTTAAATTAAAACTTATCGTTTGGTTTTATCTTGTAATTTTTCATTTTAAAATCACATCTTATAGTACATATACAATTCAAGTTCATGACTTAGCATATTTAATTGCTTTAATGTGTGTAAAATCACATTTTATTGGCTAAATTCTAGTCAAACTCATATTCCTTATACTTAAGTTCAACTACAGTCATACAACTAACTGATTAAACGATTTTAAAATAGAATATTATTATGGTGTCACAATCTTGTACTTTTGCTTATTTTTTGGTATACATCTCCATTATATAATCACTTTGTGTTTTAGATAAGATAAAAATTGTACATGTACTTATATACACACATGTATTATTTGCAATTCCATATTAAGAACTTTAAGAAAATAGCAATGTTATTAATTTTGTAGATGAAAAAAAATAACACTTGTACTTCGAAATTTATTAGATTGTTTTTGAGACAAATTTTATTAAGAATAGTTAGAAGATGAATTAATGATTTTTTCTTTAAATTCCGGAATAAATTTTTTAAGAAAGAAAATTTTATATATTTTTCTGGTTTAACTCTAACTTATGTCTTAATATAAAGATCCATAAATGGAAAATAAAAAATCTGGAAAAGTAAAATAACTAATTAATGTAGATTTGTAAGACAAAAAGATATCTCCTCAGCTTTAGAACAAACAATTTCTGTTTTTTTCTATTTCGAAATTTTATAAAAACAAGAAAAGTTAATGTCTTGTATAACGTCTCACAATATAAGAATATGAGTTTTGCCCATATAATCTACAAATAATTTCAATCAAAAGCGAATATAATTCTAGAAATCAATTCTAATTACCAAAATAGGACATTAAACGAATATTTTTGTTTATTATTAAAGTAGTCTTTAACATTATATTATTTCCTGGTAGTAATTCCTAAACTGGAATCTCTCTTTTTGTTTTACTAAATATTAATGTATAATTTGTAAATTTTGACATGGAGCCATGTGTGATACTCGAATTTGTAAATTTTGACATGTAGCCATGGGCTTCGACACAAAAAAAAGAACAACAGTCCCTCGAAAGCTTCCCTTTTGATCAATTCGAGTATCACGGGGAGAGTCAATTGATCGCAATTATGAGGACGTAGCAATTTCTTTGTAATGTATTGGTAACAGCTTGTATAATATTAAAATAATTATTAATTTTTTTTCTTTTAATTTTATTTATAGAAGCATGAAGACATAGTTTTATTTTTTTTATATTTTTTTTTTTTTACATTTTTTGCTTTTCTTTTTATAATATGCGTTACAATTTTTTTCACATTTATATTTTTTTTTTTTTATTATTTTTGTTTTATATGAAATTATAATAATTATAAATTTTTTTTTTTTTTTTTTTTTTTTTTTTATTTTTTATATTATTCATATTATTATTACAATTTTTTTTTTAATATTATTTTTATAATTTGCTGCAATAACTTTTTCTATTTTCTATCACAGAATTTTTATTTGCAGTAAAGAAAAGTAATTTTTAATTAATTATAATTATAATTAATGTTTTTTTTTTTCAATATTTTGAACAGTGCCTATCTTCGTTAAAAAGAAGAAAAGACCTCCAAAAAAAAAAAAAAAAAAAATTTAATTTTTTTTTTTTATTTTTTTTTGAAATTTTTAATTTTTTTTTATTTTTAAAATTTTATTTATTTTTTTTTTTTTTTTAATATTATAAAATCAATTTTTGTGCTCCACAATATTTTTTTTTGTTTTTGGTTTAATGTTTAATTTTATTGGATTTTTTTCGGGTTCTTCAAATAAAATTGGAAGAAAAATTAAAATGGTGTTTTTTTTCAATGGAAATTTTAAAATATAAAGAAAGAAAAAATCTCATTATTAAAAATAATTAAAAATAAGTATATAAAATGTATATGTATATAGGTACCCAACAATATAATTTTGATAAATTATTTATATTTAATAATAATTAATAATTAATAATAGAAAATATTTGAAATGTTGAACAATGTTTTTTTTGCTTGTTTGTTTTTGAACAATTTAAGAGAGAAATTTTTCATTCACGGTTGTTTTTCTTTTAATTTTATAATTTGTATTTTTTTTTTTAATTTTTTTTGAAAAATTTTATAATTTCTTTTTTTTCATAAAAAGCATTTTTTTTTTGTATTTACGTATATAATATTTTAATTTTTTTTTTGTTGTTGTTGTTTTTCTATATAAATAATTTTTTTTCATTACTTATTTGAAATAGCTACACTAATTTCAGTGCCTTGGATCTATTTATAATAAGTACATATTAAAAAATCAGAAATTAAAACAATAGAAAAATAAAAATAATTAATTAATTAATAAAAAATAATTTCTCGTTTTCATCTCTGAATTTTAATATTATGTATTTTTTGTGTTTATAAAAAAAAAAAATATAATTTTATATTTTTCTTTTAAATTCACAGGTAATTTTTATTTTAAAAGTTATTTATGTTTATATACATATATATATAATTATTTGTTATTAATTTACAAACTATGTAATATGTATATATATATATATATTAATTCCAAAATATTCACATAACAAAATTATTTTTTTTTTTTATTTTTATATAATAATTTAAATGTAATGTGTGTATATTATGCATATTTTGTATATAATTTAATGATATAATACTACATAAGTTAACCATTGTACAAATCTTTAAAGTACTATAGTATATATAGATAATATTAATATAAAATATAAATTAGGTAGGTAAGTATACATTACATAAATTTTCTATTTAAAAAATTCTTTAATTAAGATATTGAACAATATTTTTTATATTTAAATTATGTGTACTGAAAATAAATATCAAACAGAAAGCAATTCTTAAATGAATATAATAAAATAGTATTATAAAAGATATATGAGCATGTTAAGTTAAAAATTTAGGTTAAATATATGATGGTATATAATGAATATTATGTGTGTTTTAAAACAATTTTAAAAGTTTAATTTAATTATGAAGATGGAACAACTAAAAATATCATATTAAAAAAATATTTTCAGAATCTATTATTTATAACTCTGATTAACATTAAAAAAAAAAATTTAATAATAATTTGGAAAAGACTCTTTTTAGTATTTTTCCAAGAAATTTGACAACAAGTGTATATTTTTTATTTGATTTCGAACTTTGAAATGCACAAATAGTATACACTATTGTTAACAATTAACTACAAGTACATTATGGTGTAAGGATAGCGCCGAATTCACTTATAGTAATTCACAATAATCGAAAATTAGGTTTACATTTTTTTTTAATAAAAACGGAATAAAAAAGCGAAACAATCCTTAATACATTTCGCCAATAAAATCGACCATATTTTAGTATTGAGGAATTTCAAAAAATTCATGTTAAATTTACAATCACACGAATAATTTGTTTAGTACCCAATTTGGGGCAATTATTTAATATTTATTGATGTATCCTTCTCACTATTGTAATTCATTCAAACTGGAATAATATTATAGTGACAGAAATTATTAAAAATCCGTAGAGAGTTTTCATTTGACCCTAATTTTCAGAAATTTCTATGACCATTTCAGAAATTTCTATAAAGAAAGAAAACTTTTTTGAAAAAAATAAAATAAAATTGCAAAACACACTTTATATTTTCAGAAGGATATAACCATATGGCTGTGAATTGAAATTAATTTTTAAATTTTAATTAAATAATATTTAAAAATTAAATTATATATATACATATAAAGATAATTCATATATTACATAATATGACATTTTTCTTATTATATTTACATTTTTCTATAATTCAAAGAGAACATTTTTATTGACGGCAATCATTTATATATATATATATATATATATATATATATTTATTGAGAAATAATTAAAATTACTATTCGAACAACTAAAATATAAAATTAAATAATAATAAAAAATATAAGAAATAATTTTTTATTTAAATTTTTATATAATTATTATTTGGGAATAAATTTTTCTTTATTTATTAAAAAAATAATTATAAACAATTTAAAAATTTTTAATGATTCTGTAAAAAATTATTTTATGTGAGCCTACAATAAAATTTATGTCTATATATATATATATATATATATATTATATGACTGCCAAATCGGAGGTATTTAATTAAAGTACCCTATAGTAGTATTAATTTTTTTTTTTATAATTATAAAATAATTTTGTTTTCATGTATATTATTTTTTAGATTTTTGTGAACTTTCATTAATAAAATGTGAAAATAAGAATAACCTGTACTATTTAAATTTTTATATTAATGAATATAGTGTGTTTGTGAAACGTTAATATTTTTTACAATAATTTTTTATTTAAAAAAAAAAATACGTACTAATCCGTGCACAAGACTAAATAATTTGGTTTAATGTTGAAATAATCTCAGTTTTTGCCATTCGTCATCAAAAAGTGATTCTACATTTTTAAATATAATTCTGTGAGAGATCATACAGTACTTATAATAATAAAAAAAAAATTAAAAAAAAATTTAAAGAAATTTTCTAATTTTAATTCAAATTTATCATATATAAGTAAAAAATAATAACGAATAAATATTCGTTATTTCAATTAAATATGCGAAATACAACACAAAAAAATCAAATTTGAAATATCAAAATATTTAACAAAAAAAAATTTTTAATTAAATTTTAATGTGCATACTTGTTTAACATACATATATTAAAAATTCACTTTAAGAAACTTTGAGAGTATGTAAAATTCACAATTTTAAAATAACAAATATAAAAATTAAATATTTAAAAAAATAAATATTAAAATTTCACATGATTACACAGAAGCACGAATTTCATTTTTAGAAAATTTTACACAAGCCATGATTCTGAGAAATTTTGTAATTCAATCCAAAAAATTCATTCAATAAAATCGACAAAATTAAATTATTTGTGAAATTTCAATAATTAACACAAATAATTTTTATTTTCTCTCATTCTCCAAAAATTGAGAGAAAA